ACCCGGGCCTGTGCCCTGACCGGGAATCAAATCCCGATCTCCTGGATCCTAGGTCGATGCTCAACTGCTGAGCCACGCCAGCCAGGAAGATATTATTTTCTAAATACCATTTTCTGCTGAAAGAAATCAGAGGTCCTTGGTGAAGTGGCTTATTACAGGGCTGGACCAGGAAAATAAGATGGGCCTTGAACACCTTTTTGTACCAGAAAGCAAGGAAGCAAAGAAATGCTTAGAGAATGATAGGGGCATGTCAAAAAGACAAATAAGTCAGCTTGAAAGGGCCCCCAATCAGTGTCAATTTGAGCATCAAATTATTGATAGTAACAAATTATTGAATAAAATTGGAAATCATGTGTCCACAGTGATATAATAAAATTAAATTTTGATGAAGAATGGGTTATTTACATAGTTTTGAAATATCTCCTCACAAAATACTTATTCATTACAAAAGATAAAAAGAGTAACTTTACGATGGAGAAGCCTGGTAGGTACCACCTTAACCAAGTAATCAAAGTGAACATCATTAGTAATGGAACAAAGAGAGATCGTTTACCACCTGATAGGACATAATAAGAAGAATGCAGCATCACTGCTGTGATATTTCTGCTAAAGATGCTCTATCAGTTATGGTTCAATGAAAGAAACAGACCCACCAGGAATTTGTTACAGATTCTCCTTTATGCAATCGTGGCAGTTGGTTACGCAGCGTATGCAAGACTGCCGTCTGCATCTAATGCTGGAGCTTGCACTCCACAGGTCAGCCAGCTGGAAAGGTAAGACAGATGTAAAGCAGGGGGTAACAAAGACAAGCTGGAAGCCACAAGCACGAGCCAGCAGTTATTGTTGCGTCCGCCCTCAGTGGTGTGGGTGTCCACAGAAGCTGGGCCCTTCATCATGAAGCTAAACCCACGCCTGAGCGGGAGATTCAGGTGGAACACTCGCGGGCCCAGCTGGTGCCCCAGGCCAACAAGGTCAGCCAACGGTTAAGCAACTACAAAACGGCCGCTGCTTCACTTCCACCCTCGGAGCCTCCCACAGGAATCTCTTTTGTGGCCCACCTCAACAAGAAACATACAGAAAAGGGAATTGGGGGGAAGGCAGTTCACCTTAATCAGATGACAAATTACAAAGCCACCAGAGCTACATAACATGAATGTAATCATGAAGATATATCAGAATAATCCAAATTGAGGAACAGTCCATAATAAAACTGTAATTTTCTTCAAAAGTTTCAAGATTGTGAAAGATAAGACTAAAGAATTATTCCAGACTAAAAAGTCATTACAATTTAACACAATGCGTAATTCTGTCCTGAGTCCCTTTGCTCTGGCGAACAATTGGTACAACTCAAGTGGGGTCTGAGGATTAGATGGTAATAACATATTAGTGATAATCTCCTGAAACTGATAATTGTCTTGTGGTTATATAGGAGAATGTCCTCGTTTCTTAGAAGTACATGCTTAAGTATCTGTGGAAATACACACTTTAGTACTCTGAAGTAGAAGGGCAGCAGGTTGGCAACTTACTCTCTAAAGTTTCTAAGAGAAAAAAATTACTTGTATTTCCCAATTTTCTACAAGTTTTCTGTACACTTGTGGTTGTTTCAAAATAAAAAAATTCATAAAAACGTGCATTGGTAATGGGAGTACCTGTATCCTTGACAAACTCTGTATTGGCCATACACTGAAGACCAGAGATGTTGGGGGATACTGCAATGAAATTGCATTCCCTGATCTCAAATGGTGGGACCTAATGGGATCACAGAGTGCTAAAGATCAGGTGGCAGCCTAACCCCCAAATTGGAGCCATTACCACAATAACACACAGGGACTGAATGATAATCTGAGGGTTTTGATCCATGAGGATCTGTGGCAATGGCTAATTTATCATAGGATCCCTAGAAATGAAATGTACGGTTAGTCTACCAAAGTTCTGCTTGACATATATAGGAGGAAAAATTATAGGTCTGCTGGGAAGAAACCTAACTTCCTTTGGTCACCATAAAGAAAAGTCATGGCTTATTAGCCAGTTCCCAGTCATAAGCCAGTTCCCAGACACACAGTCCCCTGGCCCAGGAATGATACTGCAATGCAGCCACGGATGTGTATCATGAATCTTCCCCCAAGGGTTTTGTGGTAATTTATCAAGGTAACTGTGCTGGAAGAAAAGAAATACCCAGACCTTCTGGGGATTATTAGATACTGGCTGTGAAGGTATGCTGATCCCTAAACAACCGAAATAACTACTATTATTCAGTGATAATAGGGAATCTGTGGACTTTAGATGATATATGGAGTCTGGGCTTGAATATGCTTTATGGTGGGACTAAGCATGTATCCTATGGTTACTTTCCAAAACTCAGTATAGTGGGAATAGATTTACTTATTCACTGGCAGAATACCCAAATTGATTTTCTGACCCATGGAGTGAGAGTTACTACAGGAGGAAAATCTAAGCGGAAGCCCCTGGAAAAGCACCCCCCCTTATCATGATAATTAAACCAAAAGCAATATTGTGTCCCTGGAGGAACTGCAGAAATCAATGCCATATCAAAAACTGAAAGATGCTATAGAGGCACTTTCTACCAGATCCTCATTTAACTCACCTGTTTGGCCACTGTAGGTCAGATGGTTTGTGAAAAAGTATCACAAATTTAGTCAAGTGAGACCAATTGCAGCTGAGAATCCATATGCAATATCTCTATAGGTATGCAGTTATTGACCTGAAAAATACATTCGTTATCATTTCTATCAATAAACAAAATCAGAAACAGTTTACATTTACAGGGCAGGGACAGCAGGATAGCAGTAGACCTTTATTGTTGCCCCAGAACTATGTTAACTTTTCTGCTCCCTGTCATACATAGTCCAGAGGATACTTGACTGTCTTGATATCTCAAAGAACATCACACTGGTTCATTACTTTTATACTTTTATGCTTTTATGCTAAGTGAAACCAGTGAACAGGAAACAGCAAATAAATAAATACCTTAGCAAGACACACTATGCCAAAGGAGGAGGGAATGAAACTTGGAGAAGTCCAGGGACCTACCAGATTGTTGAAGTTTCTAATGGTTCTGTGGTATGGGGCATGTCTGGATATTTCTTATAAAATAGGATATAAGCCCTATATATATTGGCCATATATATATATATGAAAGATGCACACAACGCTTGGTGATTTTGAAGATAAGATTTACCATACTGTATTTGATATGCTGCTCTGTCCCATTTACCAGGAACCTTGTAAGGCTCTACTTTTGAGTGAATCTCACAGCAAGAAACAGCTTTGGAGCATGTCCTAATTGCAGTGGAAGCTGATCTACCACTTGGGTCTTTATGACCCAGCAGACCCAACACTATTCAAAATGTCATGCTTGTAGCAGGCATATAAATAATATGAAACCTCTGATAAGCCTCAATAGAAACTCACTATTAACATCACTATGGATTATGAGTAAGATCACACTCTCCTTTGTTGACAATTCTCCATTTGAAAAAGAGCTACTGGTTTACTACTTGGCCCCGATACTGAAAACCTGACCATCGGACACAAAATGACTATACAGACCAAACCTGTCTTCATGAACTGAGGGCTATCTGACCCACCAAACAATAAAATTTCTCAGAAACAGCAGCATTTTGTTAAAGGTGGAAGTGAAGGAATTCCACATCTAGAATAAAATATGAGGAGCACTGTAGATATACTCCAAAATAAAACAAGCATAACTGATGAAAGCATTTAAAAACCAATTATTTAAAGTCCCTGGAAATTGTCATAGGGAAATAGCAAATGCAGAAACATTTCTTCAAGAAAATCTACTAAAATTCAATTAGGACAGCAAGAATCTGTGGCAGTTCAGCTAAGACCAATTCCCGCCCTCCCCATCTCCCAGCTGGGTTTAATGGAAGCTCCCCTCCAGAAGGATGTGGACAAGACGACAGATTTCTCTCACCCCTCAGTTCCAAATCAAGGGTTAACATATCTCATTGGGAAAGGAAACCACCAGCACTTCTCTTCCCCTCTCATTCCAAGTCAAAGAAACTAAATTTCTGGTGAATATGGCCAAGAAGTTGGGGCACTGCTCCTTCATCCAGCTCCCACTCACAGGGAAGAGGCTCTGCACCAGGTATGGCTGGCCAGAATACTGTGGCCCTAATTGCCCTTGCTCCAGCTCACTCTAAAAGTAAAGGCTCCATGTCAGGAGAAGACCAGAGACTGCTGCATCCACACAGTGCCCCAAAAATGGCTCAGAGATTTTTCCCAAGGGAGAAGTAGTACATAATAACAGAGAGCTCCAAAGTTCTCTTCATAGGAACTGACTGAATTTGAAACCATATGTGGGGGCAGTTCAAGACTATAGGTGCTCTTTGAAACAATGCACATTTTTGTAGTAAGCAAGTAAGAAGAGTAACTCCAAAAGAACAAGGTAAACTGTAGGCCAAAAAACTTACCAGAAAGAACCAGAAAAAGAGAAAGCTAATACTAACCCTCCAGGGATCAGAACAAACCTCAAACATGTGCCTCAAAACTATCCCTAAAAAATGGCCCAAATTTAATTGGATCAAACTGGAGGAATTAAAGCCCCAGAGCATTGTCTAAAACAATAGAGCAATCAGCCAGAAATTATTGGAGCCTCACAGCTGAGGGTGATACCAACAGAGGTAGGCAGCTTAACAGAGAACAGGGAGAGAGATATTCAAAGGTAACACCACTGAAATACATGCTCAAGTCTGCACTTTTTGAGGTGCACCATCAAAGGCTTCATATTGCATGAAAAATACACTTCACAAAAATAGTCTAGTCAAGTATCTAAACAGATAAACAAACAACAACAAAAAAGCCACAGGCTCAGGAGATAAAAATCAGCATCAACTTGCTATAATATCTTACCTAAAATGTCCAGTTTTCAAAAATAATTTACAACATGCATAAAAGCAAGAAAGAGTGACCCATATACAAGAAAAAAGCAGGCAACAGAGAGTGCCTGAAAGAGTGATCAGACGTTGGATTTAGCAGGAAAAAGTTTCAAATTAGCTATTATAAATATATTTAAATAAATTAAAAGGAACTCATGTTTAAAGAAATGAAGTTGTGATGATAATATTGTACCAAAGAATTTCACTAAAGAGACAATATTATACAAAAAGAACCAAATAGAAATTCTAAAGTTGAAAGTACAATATTCTAAATGAAAAAATCACTAGAGGGGTTCAACAGTAGGTTTGCACTGGAAGAAGAAAGAACCAGCAAAACTGAAGATTGGTTGATAGCAATTATATAATCTGAGGAATAGAGCAAAATATAAAATTTCTCTTATAGTTTGAGTGTTGGCTTTGAATTCTTTCTTAGCCAGAACTCAAGTGCTGAGGTTGCTGAACCAAGGTCTGGTCTGATTCCACCTGTCTAACACCTGGTGCTGTTTTTGCCACCACCAACAGTTTAACAAGTCAAATATAAATATGTAAATACAGAATTGAGAGTCTTTCATTACCCATCCCACCCAGTTCCTCCCAGACATTAAACAAACAAACAAACAAATAAATAAAATATTAAAGAAAGTTCATCAAGCTGAAAGCCAATAACAACACATGATAACTTGAAACCACTCAAAAAAACAGTACTGGTTAAGGTAATTATGCAATTTTAAAAGATGGTAAAGTTGTTTATTTCTTCTCTTTCTTTCTTGACTTATATAACAAGAAATATATAAAACAATTTGTATATAATTGTATTGTTAAGCCTATTACATACAGTAATGTAATATATATGATAACAGCACAAAGAAGTGGGTGAGAGAAAAGCTGTACTAGAGTTAGGAAATGACAATAAACTGTAACACAAATCCACAAGAACAAGTGAAGACAACCAGAAATGGTAAATACGAAGATTAATATCACAAATTCTACAAATACATGGTTGCTCTCCTTTCTTTTCTCAGTTTCTTTTATAGACACAAAATTATATAAAGTAATTCTAATATGTGTTCTTGGGTTTGTAACTTATATATGTAATATAACAAGAATAGCATAACAAAGGGGGAAGCCAGAACAAAGCTATATATAGGGGTAACGTTTCTATATTCACTCCAATTGTTAGTAAAAGTTTGAAATAGATTCTGATTGGTTAAGATGTATATAATAACTTCTAGTGCAATCACTGAGAAAAATAACTCAAAGAATATAAAGAAAACTCATTAAAGGAATTAAAATGTTCCATTAGAAATGTTCATATAATATAAAAGAAAGCAGTAAAAGAGAAACAGAATAACAACAACAACAACAACAAAACCACATGAGATTTGGGGAACACAAATTTCAAATGGCAGATATAAATCCAATTATATTAAATATAATTAAATAACATTAAATGCAAATATATCAAACAATCTAAAGGCAGAGATTGTCAGATTGTATTAAAAAATAGGTCTAACTATATGCTGTGATAGGAGGCATACTTTAGATTCAAAGATCAAAATAGCCTTAAAATAAAAGGGATTTTACTACAAGCCCACATTGAAAGGCTGCCTTTCTACACTGTATTCCTGCCATGGGAAGCCAGCCCTTATAAAGGAGTTCCTGGAATTCTGTTTCAACTAATAGGACTGAGGCTTTCCCCCTCCAGTCAGAGCTGTGCAGCTCTGGCCAATCAGCATCTTCACCAACCAAACAGAGTGGCTCCATTCTGACCAATCAGGACAGTATTTTCTGAACCAATCAAACTGCAAGGATTTGGAGTCCTCATTTGCATGAGGACAGACCAATCACGGAGCAGCGGTGGGGACATCTGTCTATATAAGTCAATTCCCCTCTGGCTCAGAGAGCAGAGCACACTTCCCCTTTCCATCAAACACTGAAGAATGCATTTTCTTGGCTGGAGCTGAAACACTGAAGAAGTCTCCCCAGGGCAGGACAGACTGGTACAGGAGCAGAGCAAAGCACACTGGTACAGGGCAGAGTGGAGCAGAGCAGAGCTGTCCAGCTGGAGAGGGAGTCTTATTCCAGGGCTGCCTTTGCCCCAGGGCCACCTCACAGCCCTGCTGTTTCATAATTGAGCTGTTTGCACTGAATAAAGTTTCTTTCTTTACCACATCCCACATTGGGGATTCCTGTTGGCATTGAATTGGCACCAATGACCATCAGTTGACAGGGAGGTGCATTTTTGTTGAGGAAAAGGAAAATTAAATGTTTTTTGGGGGATAAGGAAATATATAAAGGGCATGAGGGGAAGGGAGTTGGTAAAGAAAAGAAAGTAATTTTGTCCTAAAGTAAAATGATTGTTTCAAAATAAGAAGGAAAAATATGGGATGAAAGCTAAAATGTATATGAGCATTGCAAAAGGATTGTGGAAGTTGCTGAAGGTTTGCAGAAAAGAAATCTTGAGAATGGAATTTTATGTGTGGTCAAGCTAAGATTGGAATGGATAACTAAGTCAACTGAATCATTTTGTGTGTATATGTTAACTCTTAACTCTCACCAGATGTTTAACTATGGCCATTTTGAAATCTTTTGTCACTTGCAGACGGTTATTGTTTTACTCTGATGCTTTTGCAAAAGTGTTCCTCCCAAGGTGCTTCATCTTCAAAGAGATTCATGGAATGATTCTGACAAGTATGGGTTTCTGATAACTAAAATAAATGTGCCTTTATTTGGGAAGGCCAACAATAAACCTTTCAAGTGCTTCCCCAGGGCTACCTACACAGCCCTTCAAATGTCATGGGATGGGAGCCTAAGACCTGTCCCTGTTCTCCTTCCCCACATCAGTAAAACGGCTCATTACATTGATGGCGTAACGTTAACATGTGAAGACTTGCCTCTGCTGCAGGATACTCTGTAGACTTTTGCAAGATTACAAAAGTTCACATGTTGAGAACTCTAGTGGATGGTCCAGACTCCTTGGCAGACCAAAATCTTATGGATACGTTTCCCTTCTGTTGTCTCTGCCAGAGTGTCTGACCCTTAACTCTGGAGTCACAGACACATCTAACTCAAATGGTAGCCTTGCTTGGGAGATGTCCAGGGCTTTAATATGCCATACTAGTATTTGTGCCTTCTCAAAGGAAGTTTGTGCTTTTTTTTTAAAAAAAAAAATGATTGATTGATTTTAAAAAAGAGAGGAAGGGAGGGAGGGAGAGCGAGCAAACGAGAGAAACATTCATTTGTTGTTCCACTTAGTTACTCATTCATTGGTTGATTCTTTTTTTTTTTTTAATCCTTACCCGAAGATATATGTACATATTTATTGATTTTTAGAGAGAGAGGAAGGGAGGGAGAGAGGGGGGAGAGAGAGAGAGAGAAAGAAGAAAGAAGAAAGAGAAGAAAGAAGAAAGAAAGAAAGGAAGAAAGGAAGAAAGGAAGGAAAGAAAGAAAGAAGGAAAGAAGGAAAGGAGAGGAAGAGGAAGAGGAAGAGGAAGAGGAAGAGGGAGGGAGAAAACATCGATTGGTTGCCTCCTGTATGTGCCCTGACCAGGGATCAAACCCACAACCTTGACATATGGGACAATGATCTAACCAATGGAGCTACTGCTGATCCCCAGTCCCACTCATGCCTTTTCTTTACCAGGTGTTATAAGGGATGGAGGCAGTGTGCCAGGTGGGGAATAAAAGTGCTCCCAAACCCCCAAATCCCTACAGTCTTGCACATATTTCACACTTTTAGAGGTTGGGTAGGCTTGTACCTGATCATTCCAAGCTTCTGCAACAATGTGCCTCTTACCTGACCAAATGACTCCCAAAATTTGATGGCAGTGCCTGGGCCTTGAATTTTCTGATGGTTCATCACCCATCCTCTCCTCTGAAGATGTTCCACAAAAGAACTATTAGAACTAATAAATGAGTTCAACAAGGTTTCAGGATATAAGAGCAATTGCATTTCTGTAAATACAAAAATCAATAGTATTTCTGCAATGATTGATTTGAAATTGAAACTAAGAAAACAATTATATTTACAAAAACAACCAAGAGAATATTTAGGAATAAATTTAACAAAAGAAGTGCAAAGCCAATTCTCTGAAAACTATAATGCATTCTGAAAAGACATTAAATACAATCAAAATAAATGGAAAGGTATCTGTGGTAGACAATAATGGTCTGTAAAGACATCAACATCTTAATCCCCAAAACCAGTGAATATGTTACCTTACATGGAAAAAGAGAATTTGCTGCCCTGGCCAGGTAGCTCAGTTGGTTAGAGTATCATCCTAATACACCAAGGTTGTGGGTTCGATCCCAGGTCAGAGCACGTATAAGAACAACCATTGAGATCTCTCTTTCTCAAAAAAATCAATTTTAAAAAATTAAAAAAGAAAAAGGGAATTTGCAGATGTGATTTGTTAAGGATCTTGAGATGGGATGATTATCCTGGTTATCTGGGTGGGCCCAATGTGATAGCTGCCCCAATATGCGTCAGCTGTGTTAGTGTCCTCAGTGTTCTGGGTGGGAGGGAAAAAATGGACTTCCTAGGCAGTGCTCCACAAGGCTGTGAAACTTGGGCCCTCATTTTTCTCTCCCTTTCTCCTGGGAAGAATTTAAGGGCCAAGGGGATCTCTCTTATCACAGAGCTGTGCCACATTAAGGGAGGGGGTGACTGTTCTTATCCTCTTCATTGACTCTATCCTCAGAATCTTTGCTTCACTATGGTGTTGAATCCTCTCTACTGGACTCCTAGGCTCCCATAAAGGAATTCTCCTCTATGGTTGGTTGTTAAAAATTAATGTTTCTGTGGTGGTTTGAGGGCTAAAATCTCCTATTCTGCCATCTTACTGACATCTTCTAAATTACTTTTTAATCACTGTATTCTTTGTCCTGTGTGGCCACTGAAATCTTTGTTTTGTTATGTAGTTGGTCAGCTGGTATTTTGATGGGGTTTGACTAAATGCCTGGAGCTAAGAAAAGAGGAAAAAAAGAAAATGAAAAAATGCTCTCTGAGTCTTTGAAATTTATTGCTGAGTAATATTCTATTGTATGGCTATACCATTTTATCCATTCATAAGTTGATAAAAATTACTGTTTTTTTCAATTTTTAAAAATATATCTTTACTGATTTCAGAGAGAGAGGGAGAGGAAGAGATAGAAACATCAATAATGAGAGTCATTGATCAGCTGCCTCCTGCACGCCCCCTACTGGTGGTTGAGCCCGCAAACTGGGCATGTGCCCTGACCAGGAATCGAACCGCAGTCTCCTGGGTCATCATAGGTCGATGCTCAATCACTGAGCCACACCCAGCCAGGCTTTCAATTTTTATTTATTATGAATAATGCTGCTATGAACATTCGTGTCCAAGTTTCTGTGTGAACACACTTCCAAATCGCTTGCGTATTTACCTAGGAGTGGAATGACTGGGTCATACAGTAACTCCATGTTTAAGTTTTTGAGGAACTGTCCAATTGTTTCCCGTAACGGTTGCATCATTAGGGAAATCCCAGTCAAAATCATGAAAAGATAACACCTCACACCCACTGAGATATCTACAATAAAAAAGACAGACGAGATCCTCTCTCCTCCTGCAGCCCAAGATGTCTTAAAGAAGCAGGAGGCCAAGAGAAGGCCCAATAATTTTGGCATTGGATAGGACACCCAGTCCAAAAGGGACTTCACCAGCTTTGTCAAATGGCTGGGCTACATTCGGCTGCAGCAGCAAAGGGCTATTCTCTATAAGCATCTGAAAGTGCCTCCTGCCATTAACCAGTTCACCCAGGCCTTGGAGCGCCAAACAGCTACTCAACTGCTTAAGCTGGCCCACAAGTACCAGTGACCTGATTGAGGGCAGATAGCCCAATGTGATCCCCTCATTGATGAATGTCCTCAGGATTAGCCCTCTCCTGAAGATACCATTTCCATTTTACCAGGGAGCCATCAATAGCCATGCTGAGCTTCTCCTGGGATGCATCTCTAATCCAGGGCACTATAGGAACTTGGTCCTGGAGTAGTACCAGGTGGGAACCAGTTAAGGCGTTGGTTTCCAAAAGAGCCCAATAGGATAACAAAAGTTGGTGCTCAAAGGGAGTATATCAGGCTGCCACTGGGGATAGGCACTTAGTCCAAAACCCCATAGGAAGCCAGGTAGACTCCTGTTTGGTCCAGGTACTCCAGGAGGCATAGTCAGGACTAGACTCAAAACGTAGAGCCAGGTGGGACTTGCTGGACTGCCTGCTGGGAAGTTTCCAAAAAGTATTCCCGGGCTTCGCCCTAAAGATAGGTGGCAAGTTTGTGTGTGATTTTGTATATAGGTCGAAGAATTAGTGAGGGATTAGGGATGTGTTGCCTTCAGAACTTGAAAAGACCTAAATGTGTTGTGTCTGTCTGAGCATAGAGGGTGGGTTTGATGGTGAGGAATTGATGCTTGACTGCTGGAGAAATTTCTGGCCCTTGCAGGACTAGATGATGCCCAGAGACTTGACAGATGAGGCCAGGCCTTAGATCTTGTGAAGGGTGATTGCCCAGCCACACTGGTGTAGGTGGTTTGTGAAGGTGTACAGATCTGCCCATACTGATCCCTCAGAGGGACCCCTCAACATAATGTCATGAATATAATGCCAAAAACAGTACCTTTCCCACTGTAAGGTTATTTCAATCCTGGCAGCAGAGGTTATGTGCAATTGCAGAGCTGTTTAAATATCCCATTGGGTGCTGCATAAATATATATTGAGCCCCTTCAAAAGTGAAAGAAAACTTGGGCCTGAGATTCCTCCACACTGGAAACAGAACAATGAAAGATGCTTCTTGTTCATTTTTATAAAACTGTATGTCCCCAATCAGTTCTATAATATTAGGAATTGAAGCCTTAATGGGGGAATCTGAGCTCTGAGGTTTTGATAGTAAATTGTGAAGCACCATTCATCAGTGGCTGGCTTAAGTACCAGTCAAGTGGGCTACTGAAATGGGAGATGGTAGGCTTAATAAATCCTGTCACAAGCAAATCATTAATGACTCAAGCAAATTGTTAATGACAGGGTGTGCAGGCCTTCAGTGCTCCTCTTTATTTTTTAAAATGTTTTTATTGATTTTAGAGAGAGGGGAAGGGAGAAACATCAATGTGAGAGAGAAACATCAATCAGTTGCCTTCTGAACGAGCCCTAACCAGGGATCGAACCCACAACCTGGGTATGTGCCTTGAGAGGGAACTGAACCAGTGACCTTTTGGTGCATGGGATGATACTCAACCAACTGAGCCACACCGGCCAGGGTATCAGTGCCCCTCTTTAAGTGTATATTAGGGAGTGTGTACTATCTTGACCGGAGGAGAGTCCTCAGCATCCACTTGGCAAGTCCCACCAGGAAAGCCAAGGGCTTATGTTTGTTCCATGAGGCATGGCATAGAGTCAGTGCATCCATGCCTATAAGAGGGAAAGAAAGAACCAGGAGGTCCACCACCATAGGAAGCTGTTTGTGGTGAATGGTCCCAATAGTCACACCTGAATGAGTTTGTACACCTTTTCTTGCTTTACTGGCAATGCCTTTTAAGTAGAAGGGCTCCCCTTTCAGGAATTTAGAGGGATTGCCTGAAATGACAGTGACTTGGGCTCCGGTGTCTAACAGCGCCGAAAAGGACTGTTCATTTTTATTGTGCCAATGGACCACCAGAGTGGTAGAGGAGTGATTGTCCCTGGAGTTGGGACAAGCCCCAGGGAGCCACCAATTTCCTATTACAGGGGCTTAGGTAGCTGCCAGTCCTGAAGGTTAGGGAAGGGGACAGAGGGGTTAGATAGCAACTGTGTAGCAAGTGGATGGACAGAAGAAAAGGGGCTATAGCTGGGATAATGCTAGTTTCAGGGCCTGGAGTTTAGAGACTGGCTGTCCAAGAAGTAGCCAGGAACTCCAAGTTTTCACAACCCCCAGTAAAGGTTTGCCTGTGTACTCCCATAAGGGGCAAAATTAGATCAAGTGTTTATTGGGGGGGGGTAAAAAGGAGCCCTTTCTGGTGAAGGAAATTCATTCGAGGGAGACCCTTCTAGGGCAGCAGGAGTAGAGGGGCATGAGTCTGAAGTATCTGAGCATCTGAATGGGAATTTCCTCCATGTCTAGCAACCATGTCAACACCCCCCAGTGCCTTTTGGATGGTTTCAGTAGTCCCAATAAAATGTAGTAGTGTCACCCTGTAATTCTCTGGACTCAGGGTCAAATGGGGCCTTTTCATGGTTAGAAATGAAGATGGGGTCCCAATGGTCATAGAAATGATAAACCCATCAGCCTGTGCCAATTTTGCACAGCAGAACCTTATCTAATGTTTTCCATTCACTATGAGCCTTAGCTGTAAGCACCATGATGGGAGGAAAGACAACAAATATCCAGGTGAAGAGAGAAGGTGCTGGTATGAATATCAGTGACCCTGCCTTTCCTTCTCCTTCGTCATCCTCACTAGAGGATCCCTTGGAGGGATGCCTCATGAGGCACGTTTCTTGATTCTGCCCCATTCAGAGGCAAGTCAAAGGGACTCAGGATCTGTGGTAACTCAGAGGAAGCGGACATATAGCCCATATGGATCTTTGAGAAGATAATGGATTTTAGGGTCCTTAGAGACACTGGCCAGTTGATGCACTTCAGCAACCATGAGTATCAATCCAGAGCCTGTTCCAAAAACCCACAATCCCCAACCAGCTGCCTTCTTCCTGCTGCACTAAATCTTTAAGGAAGTTTTGAATTTTAGTTAAGGTATAGCTTCTGATCTCAGTTTCTACTTCCTGATTTTCTCCTGTTACCTTAACCTTATGTGTTTTTACCAAAAAAATTGTGGATGATGTCCTGTGAGCCCTTTTCATAGGCAGCCAGTTTTCTTTCCAGGGTATCCCAATCTACCTTCCCAGAATTGGGGTCAATCTCCACTAGCACTATATGCACAGGTTATTTGGGTAAAGTCCCTAGGCCTCTGGAGCTT